CAACCAGTCCGGCTGGAGGTGAGCCCGCCGCCCGGGCCCGCCGCCCGCCCGCCCGCCCGCACCCCCTGACCACCCTGCCCGCTGTTGCCACAGTGACGATTTCCTGGCCGACCACCCGCTGCTCTCCCTGGACCCCAACGTCACCGGCGTCTTCCTGGGGCCCTACCCCTTCGGCATCGACCCGGTGAGTCCCGGCCGGGCTGGGGGCCGCAGGCGAGCAGGGGGGCAGCCAGGCCTGGGGCAGGGTGCGGGGCCCGGACAGAGCAGGGCCTGCTGGCTGGCGCTTCCTGCAGCCACCGAGCGGGGGCTGTCCGAGTGATGGCGGCACTGGGCCACTGTGAGCCGCCTTGGTGCAGGGCGCTGTGCGGAGCCCGGTGTGTGCAATGATTAAAAAAAACCCAATAGGTTTCTTTATTGATTCCAGAGAAGGAGAGAGAGTGATAGAAACATCAGTGATGAGAATCACTGATGAGAGAGAATCATTGATCGGCTGCCTTCTGCATGCCCCCTACTGGGGATCGAGTCTGCAACCCTTGGCCGGAATCGAGCCTGGGACCGACCCTTCAGTCTGCAGGCTGACGCTCTATCCACTGAGCCTCACCGGCTAGGACTGCAATGATTTTTCATTTCTGTGACATCTCCATGAGGCACACCTCAGCACCATTCCCACTTTACAGAGGAGGCGGCGGAGGCACGGGAGGTCACCCAAGGTCACCCGGTTAGGAAGAGCTGGGGACGGCCAGGTTGTCTGGCCGTGTGTGCGCAGTGCTCCCTGCTGCCTCTGGGGGGGTGGGTGTCAGGTGACAGATGGTGCTGAGGCCTAACAGGGACAAATAGGCTGGGGAGAGTGACGAGGGCAGGGAGGCCCCTGCGTGACGCCTGTCCCTCCCGCCCCCCAGATCTGGAGCCTGGCTGTCAACCACCTGAGCTTCCTCAACTCCTTCAAGATGAAGATGTCCGTCATCCTGGGCGTTACCCACATGGCCTTCGGGGTGGTCCTGGGCGTCTTCAACCACATGTGAGGCGAGGCTGCGGTGGGGGCGCGGGGCCGGGGGGCGCGGGGGCCGCGAAGGCGCGGGGGCCGCGGGGGCGAGGGGACCGGGGGGCATGGGGGCCCGGGGGCGCGGGAACTTGGGGCCAAGGCTGCGGTGGGGGCGCGGGGGCCGGGGGGCCGGCGGCCGGTGACTCGGCCCCTGTCCCGCCGCAGGCACTTCGGCGAGTGGCACCGGCTGGTGCTGGAGACGCTGCCGGAGCTGGTCTTCCTGCTGGGCCTGTTCGGCTACCTGGTCTTCATGGTTGTCTACAAGTGGCTGCGCATCTCGGCGGCGGGCGCCGCCGCCGCCCCCAGCATCCTCATCCACTTCATCAACATGTTCCTCTTCGCCCGCAGCCCCACCAACCGGCCACTCTTCCCCGGGCAGGTGGGCTGCGCCCTGGGGTCACAGCCCTCCGCGGCCTGGCCGGGCCCCACGGAGTGGCCGAGGGTCCTCTGAGAAGCAGGGAGGCGGCCTGAGCTGAGAGGCGGAGGCCCGGGGACGTGGGAGGCTCCCAGCGAGGTGGCACAGGGGTCCTGGAGGCCTGGCCCCTTCTCTCCGAGGGTTCCTGACGCAGCGAGGTCCCCCTGCTCAGTGGGGGCCGGGGGAGGAGCGCAGTGCAGGCTCCCTGGGCGTGTGGCTGCAGGGGCACCTGACCCAGCCCCCTCCCCGCAGGAGGCGGTGCAGTCTGCACTGGTGGTCCTGGCCCTGGCCACAGTGCCCATTCTCCTGCTGGGCACACCCCTGTTCCTTCGCTGGAGTCACCGGCGTCACTTGAGGCGGACCCTCCAGCTGCAGGTAGGGGTGTTGCAGGGAGGTGGGGCCGCTGCCAGCCTGAGACCCAGGCAGCGGGGCAGGCAGCGGGGGCAGTGCGGGCCTCTCTGGTCGGGCCTGCCGACGCTGCCTACGCCCCATCCCCAGGAGGAGGCCAAGACGGGGCTTCTGGACTCAGCCGACGCGTCTGTGGCCGGCTGGGGCTCCGATGAGGAGAAGGCGGGGTACCCCGGGGACCACGAGGAAGCCAAGGTGGGTGTGGTGCCTTCCTGAGGGGGTGGGTAACTGCTGGCCCGGCCTGCCCCTCACTCTCACCCCTCCCTGCTCAGTTCGTGCTCTCCGAGGTGTTCATGCACCAGGCCATCCACACCATCGAGTTCTGCCTGGGCTGCATCTCCAACACGGCCTCGTACCTGCGCCTCTGGGCCCTGAGCCTGGCCCATGCCCGTGAGTGACCGGCGTGGGGGCGGCCGGCCACGGTGACGTCCCGGCTCCAGCCGGCACACACAGCCGCCGGCGGGGTGGCCTCGGGGTCCCCTCTGTACAGTGGGCTTCGGGGCACCCCGGCCCTGGTCTCCACCGCCCCCTCCTCGCCCTCAGAGCTGTCGGAGGTTCTGTGGGCCATGGTGATGCGCATCGGCCTGGGCATGGGCCGGGAGATGGGCGTGGCGGCCGTGGTGCTGGTGCCCGTCTTCGCCGCCTTCGCCGTGCTGACCGTGGCCATCCTGCTGGTGATGGAGGGGCTCTCGGCCTTCCTGCACGCCCTGCGCCTGCACTGGTGAGTGGCCGCCGGCTGCCGGGCGGCTCCGGGCAGGGCAAGGCCTTCCCGTCACCAGCTCCCTTCTCACGCCAGGGTGGAGTTCCAGAACAAGTTCTACTCGGGCACCGGCTACAAGCTGAACCCCTTCACCTTCGCCGTGGAGGACCAATAGCGCCCACTTGTGGCCATGCTCCCCCGCAGCTTACCTACCGAGTGAAGCGGGAAAGGAATAAAGAGGAGGAAGTCCCAGGACTGTGTCTGGGTCCTGTCTGCAAAGCAGGGGCTGGGGAGGCTGGGGTGGCAGAGCCTGGGCCGCGGGCGTGGGCTGGTCCTGCCGTGAGCCTTTTGGTTTCATGGACCCCGTGGCGGCCTCTTCGCCTGCCTCTTCCATCTTCCTTGGCAGCTGAGGGGGTGGGAGGCACCGGCCCATGACCAAGGGCCTTGAGAGGTTGGGGAGAGAGCCCATGAGCCCATCTGTAAGAAGCTGACTCTTGTGTGGACCAGGGAGGGGTGTTCCCTGCACATGCGAGGCCAGGGGAGTGAACTTCCCGTCCTTGAGGGTGTGCAAGCTAGCTGCGAGAGAATGCTTGGGATGCCCTGGGTGTGAGGGATGCCTGGCACGAATTGGCCAATGCTCCGTATGGGGAGGGCAGTGCTGTTGGACACCAGAGGCCACCGTCCTGCAGAGGGTCAGAAAGGGGGCGCAGGCAGACTCCAGGCCCCGTCTCCGTCCTGGGAGGCTTCGGCCTTGCCATCTCCCTCGGCAGCCAGACCTGCTCCCTGGAGGCTGCCCGTTGGCTGGTGGGGCGGGGGGCCTGTAGCTCACTGACTTGGACCCCCACCCCCACCCCTGGGAGGCAGAGCCAGTGCTTCCCAGAGGCCTCTCTCCAGCTGGACGGTCGGGAACAAAGGCCGCTTTGAGGCTAGCCGCGGGCGCAGCGAGCCTGGGGCCTGGCCCCTCACTGGGGCGCTCCTCTGGCAGCTGCCAGGAGCCTGGCCCTTGGGTCCAGGATTGGCCCTTGGGAGCAGGGTGGCAATCCCACATGCCTGGCAGATGTGGCTGAGAAACAATGACGGCCGTCTGGTGAGGCAAAGCCGGTGTGGGGGACTGGCTGCGAGGGTTAAGCCCAGGCCCCAAGCCTTACACCTCCCTGGGGAGCAGCTGGGCAGGCCTCAGGGTGGGGTGGTGAGAGGAACCCTGACATACTGGGAGCTGGTGTGTGGGGGTTTTGTGAGGTGTGGCCTAGGGAGACGCTGGCTGGCACATGGATGGCTGGCAGCCTGGCTGTGGGTCTGGCTGCCTTGGGCCAGGTCGTCAGGAGACACAGGGACGTGGGTCACCTACACGGGCAACAGGCCTGATCCTGCCGTCTAAAGCAGAAGACACCGAGTGAAGCCGATGTCAGGAAAAGGCGCGGGTAGGAAGAGGGAGGCGCCAGATGTGGAGGGGGGTCTAGAACGGCACTGGCTGTTTGTCCGGATGTGAAGAAGCCCGTCATTGGAAGACCTGGCCCCAGCATCTCAGCGGGAGTCAGCAACAAGCCTGGCGTGGCGGCAGGGGAAGGCTGGGGTGGGGACGAGGCCTGGCCTGTGGGCACAGGGAGTTGGAAGCCATGTGTTAAATGAGCTCTCACGTAGCTCAGTATCATTATTGCTTGAACATTAAATCACGCTTCCCTGGTTAAGTTTGAATGTCCACAAGCTGACGAGCGGGCAGCCCCCCCCGCCCTGGCCCACGCCCCGGTGGCTGCACTGCCGTGTCCCGTGCCCGGGCGGCCAGCATGCCAGGGGCAGGCGCCGGTGCACGTACTGGGCCGCCGGTGCATGACTCGGTCAGAAGTGACAGCTGGCCCTGAGCGCTTTGGCTCAGTGGACAGAGCGTCGGCCTGCAGACTGAAGGGTCCCGGGTTCAATTCCGTTGAAGGGCATGTACCTTGGGTGCGGGCACCTCCCCAGTAGGGGGTGTGCAGGAGGCAGCTGATCGCTGTTTCTCTCTCATAGATGTTTCTACTCTATCCCTCTCCCTTCTTCTCTGTAAAAAAAAATCAATATTAAAAAAAAAAGTGACAGCTGAAGATGGAGTTTTATTTTTTTATTGTTTGTATAGTACAATCTCTGTGGTAGCAGGACTATATGCACAGAAATAATTCAATAAGAGTTCAGGTTTAAAAAATTTATCCCAAAGGATATTTAACATATACAAATTTCACAGCTATACTCTACCCACGCCCCACATGTCACACACAGGCCGCTGGTCCCACCCGGAGGACGGCGGGGTGTCAGAGCAGGGAGGGCTGGCCTCCGAGAGCCCAGCCAGGGTTTCTGCTCCTCCTGGGGGCCCGGGCACACAACCCTGTCACAGATGGCCAGCTCCAGGCTGCCGTCGTGGAGGAGTGGTCCCGTGGAAGGCAGGGGCCTGCACACCCCCTCACTGCCCTTCGAGGCAGGGTTAATAAAGCAACATTCGGTGAGGAGGGCGAGGCAGAGCTACCCCAGGTGGGGAGAGATCTGTCCGTACAACTGAACGCACTACAGTCCTAGGAGCCACATCCATCGCACGGAGAGGCAGCTGGCGCAGCCGCGTGCATGCTGCTGCTTGCGCTTCAGCCATTCGGACCGAAGGGTGGAGGAACAGCTCCGGAGACTGGCAGGCCACGTCTGTCCTGTCCCCGTCACCTCAGGAGGGAGCGGTGTCTACACGCTGTTACCTAGAGCCGCGCAGGGCTCCCAGCGGGGTCAGTCCCGTAAAGCAGCAGCAGTGGCGGGGCCTGCGGCTGCTGCACGTCCGCGCAGGCGGGCCTGCCTACAGGAATCTGAGCTATCCTATTGCACTACTCAACTGTTTCCGCTGCCGAGCTCGTCAGAGGCCTAGCGAGTCGTAAACAGATAGAAATAAATGTTGTCAAGTTTAACACAGTCTTTGTATCATACAGATCTGCGTGCGGCAGCAGAGCCCAGCTTCTCGCTGCAGGGACAGCAGTCGGAGCGGAGGCCCCGTGGCGCGGCCACCCCACGCATCCAGGACGGAGTCTCAGGAGTCCTCCCGTGGTCACACCCCCAGCTTCCTCTTCTGGTGGAAATAGGCGTCAAACCTCGCCTGGGCGTAGTCCTAGGAGACAGAAGCACAGAGGCTCGACCCGGGCTCCTGCCCACCCGAACGCTGCTTGGATCCTGCCCGGGAGCCGCCTGTTCCAGAGACATCTTCTCCCGCTGCTGGCAGTGTTCCCCCCACACCTTCATCCTAAGGTACCCACCTGGCCCCGCCACCCAGACAGGACTTTTCCTGGTTCCCCAAATCATTTCGCCCAAGTGTTCACGACACGGACGGACGGACTTAACAGAGGCTCCCCTTCAGAGCAGAAGTCCCCGTGTGCTCGCAAGCACAAGGCAAAAAAGTCTCCTCTGTCTCCGTGTCACTGGCCATGACTCCATATTGGCTTTAGAAATCCACACTTGCCCTCTTCGCCCCTCAGCACCTGTCACCCCCTCCCCTCTACCCGTCAGCACCCATGTTCCCCCTCCCCTCTGCCTCCCAGCACCTGTGTGTTCCCTAACTTCTGCCGAGAAGCAGCAATCATCCTGATACGGATCAGGAGGAAAATGGCACCTGTGCCAAAGCCAGGTGCTCACTCGACTTGTGTGTGCCCGGCCCCGGACACCCGCCCACACTCATGGAGGTAACGACAGTGTCTGTGAGCAAGACAGCTCTTCAGGTCGGAATAAAACGAGCCTGGCTTGGCACCAACGTGCCCATGAGTAGGCTGTCTACGCAGCACAGCTCCCAGCCAAGGTGAGGCTGGAGACCAGAAAGGAGCGGTGACAGACGTGTCCCTGTCATGAGAGACCAAGGCTGGGGCTACACCTCTCCCGCCTGCACCTCCGCAGCCCGTCAGAACCAGAGGCCCACACAGCACTTCCCTGTGCGGGGGGAGGGCCTCCGCCGAGGGGCTTCAGTGACAGCCGCTCTGCTCCCTGCACGCGGAGCTGCTGGCCCGGCCGGTTCAGGTGCTGCCGGGACACTGCCCCGCGCTCACACAGGCAGCCTTTCCCCGGGAGCAGGAGAAAAGCGCTCCCAGACATACCATGTAGCCAAACTCGATGGAGGAGATCTTGGCCTGCACGATGGACCACAGCGCCCAGAAGAAGTGGGAGGCCAGGGCAAACCTGTAACACAGAAAGAAGCACGTGAGGAAGCACGTGGCACCGAGAGGGCCCGGGAGGGCTTTCTGCTGGGGGCATCCTAACTCAGTCCACTCCGGCCGCCTGGGCAAGCTCAGGGGGCTGATGTCCCGTGGCCACAGAGGGAGCACCGCAGCCTCTGACACGTGTGAACACGCCAACTGCCTGTCCCTGGCACATGTAATGGAGGCCTTGGCGGCCATGCCGGTGAAGCCTGGGCGCCACTTACTTCCATGCTGTGCTGCCCTGTAAGCGGGCGCAGCACCAGCACCGGCACACATCACCAGCAAGAGGAGAAACCACAGGCCTCGGAGCTCACGGCCCGTCCCAGGAGGCCGGACCCCTTGCCCCCTCCTCCCTCACAGAAGTGAAACCAAGCAAAGGAGAGTGAGCCAGTGCCCCCACCCCCAGGCTGCGCCACGCCTGTTAGAGTCCAAATTCTCACCTCATGCCTTTGGGTCTTGTGCCGTGAGCAATGCCAGTCCCAGGACTGCTCTGGCTCGCTCACCAAACCAGCCTGTCCGCCTGGCAGTCCCCACGTGCCGCCCGGGTACCACCCTGCTGTGCGGGTCTCTCCACCTCTCTTCTATTGCCACCTGGCTAGAACCAGGAAGGGCAGCCTATGCTGCTGGTGGCACCGGGGGGTGGCGTGCTCGGGGAAGTGTGGAAATGCCTGAACCATGCAGAGGTGGTCCGGGACGGGGGGCGGACAGTACAAGTTACTTTGAAAACAGGCAATATTTAACTATCTCCTAGGAGACGTGTATTAGACGGCACCTCCAATCATGAGCCTCAGAGGCAAGTGCACAGACTGGCTGGCAGCAGCCCCACCCAGCTGAGTCTTCCACCTGCACTGCCCTCCCGAGGGCAGACCCTGTTCCCCTCACCTGCTGACCCTGAATATACTGGGCCGAGACGCGCCAGTGTTCTGTGTTCGACAAAGTACAAGTCTGAGGGATGTGCGGTGAGATCTCTTACAGTGCTCCTCGGCCAGGAGGCACCCCACCACACTCCAGAGAGGTGAGCTACCTTCACAGATCAGCAAGGGAAAAATTACCTATTGACTTCAACCAGCATTTCTTCTTCTCTAATGAACTTTTCTTCATTACTGAGGTTTTCAAACTCATGTGGGAATGCAGCCAAGTAACTGGAAATAAAATGGAGCTAAAAAGAAAGAAGAAAAAAAAGGTAAGGACCAGTGATGGCTGCACACGGGCGCTGGCCAAAGCTCGGTGGAGCACACACATCTGGGCGGCAGAGAAGGCGGCGGAAGCCCGCCCTGCCTCCGCCCTGCCCTGCGGCCCAGGGGACCGGAGGCGCCTGTCGGCAGAGCCACTGGCCCCCTCAGAGCTCTAACGGCCCATGTTGTCTTGCCGACCGCACAGGAACCTAAGGCTACTTCTGGAGACAGTAATTCCGTTGGAATCGTTTTATTCTCATCAAAACTCATGCTTCCCACCGCCTGGTCGCAGAGCAGGTGAGTCTGCCTTCCTTCCACGCTGTGCAGCGCTGGCAGACAGCTCTGCTCCCGCCGCAATGAGCCGCTTTGGCCTGCAGATCCCCGACTGCAAGGAGGAGCGCCTGAGGCCAGGCTGTGTCCTCCCCCGGCTTCCTCCCGCCGTTCTCATACAGCAGGACCTTGAGGTCCAGACCATCCTGACACTTTGGATAGACTCAAGATCTTCAGTCAGCCTTAAATATGAGCAAAAGAGCTCAGCGGGTATGGCCCAGTGGCTGAGCATCGACCTATGAACCAGAAGGTCACAGTTCAATTCCCAATCAGGGCACATGCCTAGGTTGTGGGCTGATCCCCCGTCTGAAGTCTGCAAGAGGCAGCCAATCAGTGATTCTCTCTCATCACTGATGTTCCTCTCTCTCCTTCCCTCTCTGAAATCAATAAACATATATTTAAAAATAACACACATGGCCAGAAGAGAGCCACAGAGTTTTGGGCAGGAGTTACATTCAGCCATAGCCCAAAGCCGAAAGGCGCCCTATCACTGTGCCTCCCTCAGGGGTGGGTCCTAACACACACCTGCTTCGTGACTGCATCCCTGTCCGCTCCCTGACTCTGTGGATGCTTCTGAGCAGGCGGGACGTGCGCAGGGCAGGTGTGGAGCTGCCACTGGGTAAGATGGCAGAGGTGGGCGTGGTGCACTGCTCCCAGCCCTGCCTGCTTCCACACGCCAACTTATCCTCAGCCCAGAGAGAGGGGGCCCAGGAGGCAATCCCCAGTCACTGGACTCCCTACCTCAGGACGAGACAGAGGGCTGTTAACATGGCAGCAGCGATGACACAACAGGAAACATCAGTGACCCCCAAAGGGCAGCCAGAAAGCAGGAGACAGGCTACACTTTTTAGAAAAAACTCAATGTAAAGAACTACAAAGGGGCTGTGCTCCCTCTGCCTGAATCCTGGTGTCTCTGGCACAGAGCTGAGCTCCAACGTCAAGTTTGTGTCTACGTTTAATGGGAAAAACTTTTAAAGCAAGAGGGCTTGCCTAAGCATCACAGTTTAAAAAAGGCATCTCTCCAAACTGTGACGTAAGCAACGCTAACGCAGAAGGCCGCCTGGTAATTCACGCTCCCACGCACCCCCGCCTCACCTGCTGCTTCCGGGTGGGGAACTTCCCCAGGTTCGCTCGGAAGAAGGGGTACTTCTCACAGTTGTAATCATACATCCACTCACAGAAATGGTTCGCAATGTCGAAGCCCCTGGAAAAGAGATCAGAAATGCAGAGGGTGAGGCAACTGCCCACCACCAAGCTCCGTTCACAGAGAGGCCGGGTCCCGAGCAGCTCTTGGCACCGCGCTGGCCTTCCTGAGGCCCCCGAGTACCTGCTTCGGGGCAGGGACAGCCCCCGGGGCCACGGAAGCACAAAGCACCTCGGACCTGCCGCTCCGAGCAACTGCTCGAGAGCATTTTCCTGCCATCAGTCTCATACGAAAGGAAATAATCTCTGAGCCAAGGAAGTACCAGATTCTGGATTCTGATTACGCACAGCCCTGCTCCCCTAACAGGAGCCAAGGACGGGCAGCATCTGCCGGGGACAGAAAGCATTGTTTCCAGAAGAAACTCTGTAACACACAACCGTATAGTTACTGACTTTCCCCTGAAAGTGTTTCATACACATATTCAAATAAAATAGTATGTAAGTGCCCTGGCCGGTGTGGCTCAGGGGACTGAAGGGTCCCGGGTTCGAATCCAATCAAGAGCACATGCCTGGGTTGTGGGCTCAGTCCCCAGTAGGGGGCGTGTGGGAGGCAGCTGATCAATGATTCTCTCATCACCTTTCCCTCTGCCATCCTCTCTGAAATCTATCTATCTATCTATCTATCTATCTATCTATATAATAGTGCGGAAATAAAAACACCATCAAATTACCTGTAATTATTTTCTTTAAGAAATACATATTTTATTGATAGCATTAGATATCTCCCATTCCTCCCCTTGTTACTTACCTGTAATTATAACTGCTGTATTCAAAGTCGATGAGCATCAGTTTCTGCTCTTCCGAATTCTCTCCCGCTTCTAGCAGTAAGATGTTACCTGCAGAAAGGTGTGCATGACCTGCTTTTACTCCGGGCGTGCATGTGTGCACATCCGAAGCTGCCCGCCTGACCAGCGGAGCGAGGCTCTGAGCCTTCAGGGATGCTGGCCGCAGGCCGAGCCCTGGGTGGCGCCGGAGCAGCATGCGCCGGGGGGAGGCCAGGGCCCCGTCTGTCCACAGCAGCCAGCCGGGCCTCCCTGGGCTCTGGACATGGCCACAAGGGGATGCCTTTACGGCGCTCTCGAACTGCAGTCACCCCAGGGCCCGAGGGGGCGCGGGGAAGCCGGGTCTGTGTCCTCCGGTGAGGAGACCGGAGGTGAGGCCAGACACCACACCTGGCTCCGCCGGGTGGCCTCACCGGGTTTCCTAACCAAGACCACGGACAACACCTGGACACTTTCTTCTGGCCTGGATTCTGGGCCACCACACTGACCCCAGGCCTACATTCTGAACCCCCCTCCCCACTCTCCACAATGTCCTGCATCTCTGTTCCCATGGGCCCGCCTGGCTCCTCTGCTGGCACTCCCTCTGCAGGGATCCCGCAGGTGGCACCATCGGCAGCACCAGCTTCCAGGGCCCTGGAGGAGAAGTGGACACCGCGCACGCCCCCCTCTCACACACACACACGCTGCCATCACGGGCAGCTGCCCTCCTGCCCACACAAACTGGCTGATGTGTCTACATGGTGCTTGATCAGACTTGGCTGGCAACGCCCAGCCAATTACTAAAAGGCACTTCGGCTTACATTGAGGTCTTACTGATGACTTGCTTCAATAGAGACTGTTCTCAAAATTAAAACCTTAAAACCAACGGCTCAGCCTGGCCAAGGGCCCAGAGGTGGATGGCAGGGCAAAGCAGAAGTCAGTACAGGCATGAACTAACGTTCCACAGGAGGTGGCTCTGACACGCTGCAAGGGGCCGCTCTGGGTGGGCCTGGCCCTGACGGACCGAAGCAGTGGACTGCCCTGTCCTGCTGGTCCAGGCTGCAGCCAGTCCAGACAGGCGTCACACCGCACAAGCACAGACTTAGGAAGCGGAAGGCCTTCACCCCACCTCGCAGTTTAAGTGAATATTCTGTTTTTTCTGAATATATTGTCTTTTTTACGAAAATGGGATGATATTCTACATGTTTCCCTAAAATATGCTTTTCTCTTTCAATATATCCTGGAGGTTTTCTATTGGCCTGTATAAAATTCAACCTCTTCCCCCCCCCCCCTTTTGAGAATTCTTATGAATTTATTTGAGCCAAATTCATGACATGCTGAGAAGCAAGATTTCTAATGCTCCCTCTTCCTTTTTAATAGTTATGCTACACTTCATGCCTGGCTGTGCCATAAGTTAATGCCTCAAATCCTCTCTCTTCCTGCACACCTGGCACCTGCTGTCCACCTAGAGGCCATCTTTTAGTGCACACGCACACACACACATAATGGAGGCAAGTCTTACCTTCTTGACAGTCATTATGACAAAATACAACTGGAGATGGAGTGGATTCAAGTAATGATCTGGAAAAGAAAGGATTTGCCGTTACGAACCAAGCTTTTAAGAAGTCCAAGGCAAACAGTCCTGCCGTCTCAACACCCCCCCCACTCCCCCATATCAGTGCCCCACACAACACGGGCCACTGCGTGACGTCTGTCACTGTGGAAACTGTCCTGCGTGGGCCAGGCTCCAGGACGGCCTGTGCTCAGCCTCTCCCTCTCCTTCCCTCCTCAAATTTCCTCCTGCAGTCCCTCTTCTGAGAGCCGGACTGGCCACTGACCAGAGCGCATCGCTGTTTTGGCCTCTCGATTCCTTGAGAATACTTATCACAACCTAACATTCTTTCTTTGTTTTCTTGTTTTTGTCTCTCTTGATGGAACAGAAGGGCCTTGACGAAGGCCTTGGTTACCAATCACAAAGCCCAGCTCAACAGACTCTCACACCCTGAGTACTAACGGTGTACATACTCCCACTTGGGGCACGTGTGCTGTGAGTCTGCATCCCGGGCCTCTGAAGACTCCATGTGGCGTCTGTTTGGACAGCGATGTCAAGCGTCTTCCCTATCTCCCCGCAGCGTGGGGCTCCCTCTCCCAGTCTGTCCCCGTGGTTGCTTGTTTTGGTTTTGTTTCAGAAACAAACTACTACCCTGGTGCGCTGCTGCCACAGCCAGCCACCGTGCCTGCAGGACTAAACTCCCGCCACGTAACATCTGTGAGTGAACAGCAAGTGACATCACTCCTGTAAAACCCACCAGGTGAACCCACTGCATAAAGCCATCCTGCAGAACAGACGGAATGCAGGACCCGAGGCAATGCTTAGCCGGCGATTACTGACGGCTGTGCCGGTGACATGTCTGGATGCTGCTTTCAGGGTCAGGAAACGGACGCACTCACTGACCTCAGGTTCTCCAGCTCCAAGGGCAGGTTGTAACTGAGGAATTTGTGCAGCTGCTTCACCTTGGCTCCCTCGGTGAATTTAATCCTCAGCACTTGATTCAGGTACCTTGCAAAAGGAGAGAACAGAAAGCATTGCTCAGGCAGCTTGTCCCGGGCTCCGGTTCAAGGTAACCACACATCAGAGGCGCCGGGTCTCCGTGAAGGGGACAGGGAAGGGTATGCAGCCCAGGTGGCTGGAAGCACACTTCCTGCCCATCCACCTTTCAGTGGCATTTCTGCAAGTCTTTCCTGGTTCGGGAACTGATTCTGACGTGGAAGCAGGATCTATTCATGAGGCATTCCCCACCAGCTAACAGCTGCACACAGCAGACAGAGGAATCACCGCTGGCACCCGGGAGCTGCCGATGTAAAACTCGGTTAGAGAAGTGATGTGACCACTCACTTTTCCATTGTGCCAAAAAGCCATTTCGGTTCCTTATTGAATGGCATCTTCATACCATGAAACGTGGCCATTTTCTCAGCTATTTCTGCAGAAATATTTGGCAAACTTAATTCTTCAGTCTCTAATCGTCGGCTCTGAAACAAAGAAAGATTTTAGAAATGGCATTTATCCAGGTAACCTAAGAAGTGTGAGCTCAACTGGAACCGGTGTGGCTCAGTGGATAGAGCGTCAGTCTGCAGACTGAAAGGTCCTGGGTTCGATTCCGGTCAGGGGCATGTACCTTGGTTGCGGGCACATCCCAAGTGGGGGATGTGCAAGAGGCAGCTGATCGATGATTCTCTCTCATCGATGTTTCTAGCTCTCTATTCCTCTCTCTTCCTCTCTGTAAAAAACCAATAAAATATATTTAAAAAAAAAAAAAGTGAGCTCACCCACTCTCAGGATGAGAAGCCAGGTTTTGAGGGTGTTTAAGTCTCAGCTAACACACAAAACTCCCTTAAGAATGGGCACTGTGCCCGAAGATGGTGACACACTAATTGCCATGGCATTTCTTTCTTTGTTAAATATATTTGTACTGATTTTCAAAGAGAGGAAAGGAGAAGACGACAGAAACATCAATGATGAGAATCACTGACAACCTGCCTCTTAATATTCCCTTCTTTGGAATCCAGCCTGCAACCCGGGCCTGTGCCCTGACCTAGAATCAAGCCCTGACCTCCTGGTTCACAGGGAGACACTCACCCACTGAGCGACATGGGCCGGGCGTCAGGGCACTTCTTAGTGAGGGCAGACCACCTTCAAAGGCCCAATTCATTTTGAAATTTTCAAACTGAAAGCCTTTCTCCCACATGATTTGTGCCTTCCTCTGCTGACCCAGCACTAAAAGTATGCTCCCTCCTCCAAGCAAAGAAACCAGGGCTTCACGGTTTGGGTGACCGCATCCAGCTCCTCACCAGCTGGAGCCGCCAGTCCTCTGACAGGGAGGTGTGGCGGTCAGCAGTGCTGTCAGCTGAGTCCCGTCCCACTGTTCACAGCGGGGTCCCGGCACTGCGGACTGGTAGGAAGGCTCTCAAGAAAAAGGCGCCCAGCAAGTGGGAATTCCCCAGCTTTCCTACCGCAGCCCGAGGCCAAGTGCGTGTGGCTGCCTTCCCACAGCTGTTCACAGGAGCTCAGTGACCTAAGACTTGTCTGTCTTTCCCACAGGAACTGCTTCCCCATAGAAACCCAGAGACATTTCTCTGAAAGTCCAAAGTGAGGCATGGCTGGCATGGCTCGGTGGTTGAATGTCAATCTATGAACCAGTCAGGGCACATGCCGGCTGTGGGCTCGATCTCGTGTGGGGTGGGCAGGAAGAAGCTGATCAATGATTCTTTCATCACTGATGTTTCTCTCTCCCCCTCTCCCTGCCTCTCTGAAATCAATGAAAATATATTAAAGTGGGATGGCACAGGGTAAAGAGTGAGTGTCCTCAAGCTAGGGAAACGGCCCTGCTCCCTTTCTGGCTCCTGTACTCACGGCCAAGGGCACACTGCTTACACTCTGTGCCTCGTTCCAGTGTCTGTAAAATGCCAACATGCCATGAAATTCCTGACAAGGCTGCTCTGAACCAGCTCTGACAATGCGGCGAGTCTCCGGGCCGGCACCTAACCAGCGCATTTCAACAAGCAGCAGGTGCCCTGTGATTCAGACCACGGCCCGTCAAGCTGTCTCGACCCAACTCTGGATCCTCCACATTGACCACACTATGATAGGAACAGGGCAAGCAGCTCACTCAGCTTCCTGAGCTGCTGGAGTGATGGCAGCCCTGGCTGGGGTGGCTCATTGGTGGGCGTTGTCCCTTGTCCCGAAAGGTTGCTGGCTGAGTCCCAGTGAGAGCACATGCCTTGCAGGGTGTGCAGGAGAGCGCTAAATGATGCTCCTGTTCTCGCATCAACGGTTTCTCTCTCAAAATCAACTTTAAACATAAAATGTAAAGTTAAAAAGACAGACAGACGTCTTACCGGAATGAACTGCTCCAGGCGGCCTTGCGGAAAGATGCCATAGAGCTTGGGCCCGAGCGACCGCTCTGCGAGAATGGCGAACATGACGCTCTCCAGAACCATGGCCTCAGTGCCCTGGAACACCAACAGCGCAGACGTCAGAGGCCTGACCGGGCCAGGCTCAGAGTGCTTCCCACGAGCAGTGTCACCAGATCCCGCACCAACTCTAAGATCGGCATTATCACCACCCATATTTAATATGAAGAAAGAGGTTAAAAGATCTGGAAATTTGTAAGATCCATGTTCAAAGCACTATACAGATGAGACTTAAAATTAACTTTAATTAAGGTCACTGACTCAAAAGATGGGACAATATCTACCAATCCTTTATTGCTCCTGTTAAGTTTAAAGCTTGTGTGAGTCCCACCCTGGGCATCTTGTCCAAGGTCACAGCACCACCATGCTGGTGAGGGCAGACAGTGCTGGGTGCTAAGCGCGGGGCCAAAGCCTGCCGGCTGCCTGGGCTGTTACAGTGAGCTTCCGATCACTCATTCAGATCAGAGATCTGTTTTCTGGCCCACGAGCACCTGTGCCTGGAGCATTCGAGGTTTCTACTTTCTCCTATCATCCCCAATCTCCTCTGCCATTTAATGTTCTTCTTGCCAAAACATCTATGATGCTCACATGATTCTGTCCTAAAGATGAATGTGGATCTATAATCATTTTGCCTTCAAAATCCATGTTTTGGATTCAATTCAAACTATTCCTTAGTTCTCTTCTCTCAGGCAGCAAGTTACAGGTTAAAAGTTTCCATCTGTTGGGGTGAAGACATGGGAAGTTAGCCAGAGGTGCGCTCGAGTCTCTCAGAGCCTTTCAAACAGGTGTCTGAGGGGACGCCAGCAGGCATGCTCGGAAAGTTCTCTCAGGGGTCGGGAGTTTCCACTTCACCCCTCGTTAAGAGCCGTGCTGCTGCGCTCTGGGTGCCCAGGTGGACAGCTTCAGGTCACGTTGAAGCACCATCAACCTCCTCCACAGAGACAGGCTCATGGGCGCCACAGCCCGCTGAAGCGAGTCCTGTTCTGTGGGGTGGGCCCTCACAGCTGAATTGTCAGAGCCCATCCTGGCAGCCATCGGCCTCAGGGTAAATCTCTCCCACTGATATGCCAGGAGCAATTAAGTCAGAAATGAAGGATACACTAACTGAAATGAAGAATAATTTACAGGGAATCAACAGTAGAGTAGATGAAGCTGAGAATAAAAACAGCAACTTGGAATATGAAATAAGCAAAAAACACCCAATCAGAATAGCAAAGGGGGAAAAAGAATTTAAAAAAGACAAGGATAGTATAAAGGAGCCCCATGACAACTTCAATTTGCCGACATTCACATTCTGGAGGTGCAAGGAGGAGAAGAGCGAGAACCTGAAACCATATTTGGAGAAAACGGTTAACTTCCTAACCTGGTGAAGGAAGCGGACATACAAGTCCAGGAAGCACAGAGTCCTAAACAAGATAAACCTAAAGACACACCATAATTAAAACACAAAGGGTTAAAGACAGAGAGAATCTTAAAAGCAGCAAGAGAAAAGCAGTAGTTACCTACAAAGGAGCTCCCATAGGACTGTTAGCTGATTTCACAACAAAAAGATTGTGGCCACAAGGGACTGGCAAGAAAGACTTAATGTTATGAAAGACAGGAAGTTACAGCCAAGATTATTCTATACAGCAAAGCTATCATTTAGAATGGAAAGACAAGTTTCCCAGACCAGAAAACCCTAAAGAAGTTAGTTCATTACCACAAACCAGTATTACATGAAATGTTAAAGCATCTTCTTCAAAAAAATTTTTTTTAATTTATTAATTTTAGAGGAAGGGAGGAGGAGAGAAACATCAAAACATCAATTATTTTCCACTTATTGATGCATTAATTGATTTTTGTATGTGTCCTGGCTAGGGATTGCACCCACAACCTTGGTATATCGGAATGGTGATCTAACCAACTGAGCTAGCCAGGCAGGGCAGAGTCTTTAAGAAGAAAACCAGCTCTGACTAGGTTGCTCTATTAGTTGGAGCATTGTCCCTTACACTGAAGGGTCATGGATCTGATTCCTGGTCAGGGCACATACTCCCGTTTCAGGTTCCATCATTTCTCTCTCACACTGATGTTCAATGTCTGTCTGTCTGTCTCTCTCATTTTCTTCCTCTACGATCAATAAAATAAACCAAACCAAACAAAAACACACATATCCCTAGGAAAGGATTTTTTTAAAAGTTCTTTAAATCACACATTACAAAAATTAAGTAAGACAAAACTCCTAAGCAATGATGCAAACTAAAGTTAATAAGAAGGAAACAAAGAAGAAAAAAGAAATGCTACTTAGAAAGATATGGTGTCAAATTTAAAAGTAATTCACTCGTACATTTGGGGGGAAGTGGATTTGCTGGTAATCCCCAGTTCTAGGCTAGCCGCCGCCACCTTGTGTAATCCCCACCACTGTGATCTAACCATCACCGAGGGGGGCCAATCTTGCTTTACTAGTTTGAAGTTTTATATAAATGACTGCTATAAAGCAAGCTGCCTCCTCCTCTAAACCCATAATTGCAGCTCCAACTAACTCCACTGCGCTCGCTTTGGTGGGGCCTTTGGAAGGTGACTGGGTTCGCTGAGGTCATGATGGTGGAGCCCTAAGAGGATCAGTGTTCTTGGAAGAACAGACTCAGAGGACTCTCACTACTTCTCTCTCCCTCCACCCGGTGAGGACCCAGCGAGAAGCTGGTATCTGGCCAAGCAGGAAGAGGGCTCTCACCAGAACCCAGCGTGCAGGCACCTGTCCTCTCACCTCTAGCCTGTGGTTCATGCCCGGGGACTTTGTCTGAGACAATGACAATAGGGCCACAGGGTTGACCTATCAAAAGTTTGTGCATTTAAAGCAGGATTTGACTGACAATCTTTAAACTCTTAATGATTGACAACCAACTCCTGACATCTCTATTTAACTGCAGAACGCCTTCACTCACTCCTCTGACCGGACAGCAAACCTATCTGTGCGGGGCCTCACGCCCAGCACCGGAACGCCGCAGAGCATCCCCCGGCTCTGCACCTGAGCCCGGCTCTGCGGCCCCCGGAAGCAGCAGCCCTGCGCCCCACCCGCGCTGGACGCAGTCAAAGTGAGTGCAGGACAAGGAGGCTGACCTTGGCCCCAGACCAGCTGGGCTGCCATCAGTGGCGCTTCGCCATCTGTACAGCTCCCAACCCGACCTGCAGCCCATTCCCGTCATTTCCAAAGAGGACGACGACCAAGATTTCTCCTGTCTAAGTGCCCTCAGTTCTGTTGGAATTAAAGTTTGCTGTCAAGTTTCCTCTGTTTAGACTAAGTTAAAGGTCACTGAGGTTGACACTGAATAAAACACGTTTCTAATCTCAATGCCCCTTACAGTTTAAAGTTTCAAATTTCATAGATTTGAACCCCACTATTATTTCAGTAATTATTTTTGCACATTGTGCAAAGGCTTCTGGAGATGACTGCGAAAGAACACACATGGTCCAGAACCCTCCAGAGCGGAGCCAACCCACTGCCAGAAATGGTGAAGACAGAAAGAGACTTGAGGATGCTCCAACCTCTGCAGCATTGCTCTGAACACTGTGAACAAGCATCTTTGTTCTTATGTGATGCCACAGCTCAGTATTTATTCACAGCAGGGAGAAGGGGGAATGGTGTGTGGAGGGAAGAATCCGGAAAGGAAGAAAATAAAAGAAAAAACTAAGTCACAAGACAAATGGGTAGGTAAGAAGGCTCACAAGTAATCTTAGAATGAGTGTCACAAGGTCTCCGGCACCTGTTGCTTCCTACTTAACGAGAGAACGGTAGCAGATGGTGTGAACTCCTGGTGTACAGGAGAAACACAAAGACAAGGTTTGGATTGGTGGCCTGAGGAGAGAGGGCAGCATGCGAAGAGGGAGTGGAGCGAAATGTGGCGCGTTCTACAGTTAATGCAATAGGACATGAGCCTAGAAAGGAGAGAAGGAAAATTAGAAGAGAGACAGTTTTACTTTGTGTCTGTGTCCCAGCTGCCTTTAGGGAAGGACACATTTCAAAATAGATGAGGGTCCTGTTAAATGCTGCTGAGAAGTCAAAATAGAACTGAAAAAATACTTTGGACTTAGCATCATGGAGGTCCTAGTGCTCCACCATTTTCAACTCCCAGCAGGCACTAAGGTCTGCATCTAAAGGGCTCAGAATGGGGGAAACAGAATGTCGGTCACTTCCCACCTGGTGCCTTCCAGTCAGTTCTAGACTCTCAGGACCAGCGTCCCCAGAGCAGGGTGCAGGTAAACAACCCGCCAGAACACAAGGACTAGCAGCACTTTTATTCCTTTATTATCTCCCCTCTTTTTATGCCTGTCTTTATTATTTTAATAACTAGTACACAACTTGGTAATTAGAAGAGCCAGTGTATTTATGTGTACAGATACATACGTACATGTGTGCTGTGAGTACATGCACACCTGTGCACACACACCCCTTATCCACAAACTTAGGAGAGTATGCTCACAGGTTGTTTCCTCCCTGTAGTGTGGAGGTAACTGCTCGACTCCCCACTTCTGAGCCTCAAAGAGAAGACAGGATGACATCAGTGCTTTTTTTTTAAATTTTTTAAATAAATCTTTATTGTTCAGATTATTACAATTGTTTCTCCTTTCCCCTCCCCCCATAGTTCCCCTCCACCTGGGCTCCACTCCACCCTCTGTCCTTACCTCCCCACTCCGTCCTCATCCATAGGTATATTATTTTTGTCCAGTCTCTTCCCATACCCCCCACACAGACACTCCTTTCCCCGAGAATTATCAATCCCCTCCCATTCTATGCCCCTGATTCTATTATATTCATGTTTATTCTGTTCATCAGATTTTTAATTCACTTGACTTTTAGATTCACTTGTTGATAGATATGTATTTGTTGTTCATAATTTTTATCTTTACTTTTTTCTTCTTTTTCCTCTTTTTAAAGAACACCTTTTAGCATTTCATAAAATAGTGGTTTGGTGGTGATGTACTCCTTTAGCTTTTTCTGATCTGTGAAGCTCTTTATCTGCCCTTCAATTCTGAATGATAACTTTGCTGGGTAGGTTCTTGCTATTCACCACTTTGAATATTTTTTTGCCACTCCTGTCTGGCCTTCATAGTTTCTGTTGAGAAATCAGCTGATAATCGTATAGATGCTCCCTTGTAGGTAACTAACTTTTTCTCTTGCTGCTTGTAAGATTCTCTTTGTCTTTTGCCCTTGGCATTTTAATTATGATGTGTCTTAGTGTGGTCCTCTTTGGATTCCTTTTGTTTGGGGTTCTGTGCACTTCCTGGACTTGTAAGTTTATATTTCTTTCACCAGGTGGGGGAAGTTTTCAGTCATTATTTCTTCAAATAGGTTTTCACTGTCTTGCTCTTTCTCTTCTTCTGGCACTCCCATAATTCTGATGTTGGTACGCTTGAAGTTGTCCCAGAGGCTTCTTACACTTTCTTGAACTTTCTGGATTCTCTTCTCTTCTTCTCTTCTTGCTTCTCCGGAAAAGTGTCCTTTGCCTCTTTGTATTCCAAATCTTTGACTTGATTCTTGCATTCTGGTCTGCTGTTGGGGCTTTGTATAATATTTTTTATTTCAGCCAGTGTATGTTTAATTTCTAGTTGGTTTAATTTCTTTTTCATATCCTCAAGGGTCTCGTTAAATTTATCGGCCTTTTCTAGGAAATTTTTTTTTTTAATATATATTTTATTGATTTTTTACAGAGAGGAAGGGAGAGAGATAGAGAGCCAGAAATGTCGATGAGAGAAACATCGACCAGTTGCCCCTTGCACACCCCCCACCAGGGATGTGCCGGCAACCAAGGTACATGCCCCCGACCAGAATCGAACCCAGGACCTTTCAGTCCGCAGACCGACGCTCTACCACTGAGCCAAACCGGTTTCGGCTCTAGGAAATTCTTGAAAAACCTTATAACTGTGGTTTTGAACTCCATTTCTTTTGTTTGAGAACTCCTTCCTTTTCTCAGCATTTTCGCCTCTTATGCCAAAGCAGCTGTGTGGAGCTTGAGCAGGTTTGTAGAATGTTCGGGGCGGGGCCTCAGGACATCACTAGGCTGGGGCGTGGCAAACAGCGGTGGCTGCCATCAGCTGTCTCTGCCTTTCAGTGTTTCCAAGTCCCCACACTTCAGTGCAGTAAATGATGATTGCTGCACGCACCTCTGCAAAAAAGTCACCCTCACTTTCGGACCCGATGGCCGACATACCAGCTTCTCCCCATAGGCATCTGGGCCCCGCGTGACCCCAGAAGTTGGATTTCAAAGCGATCGGAGCTAGTTTCTCTTCTGGCTGAAAAAAGCCGCGCTCCCAGCTGCCCGCCAGCCCGATTCACGTGCCTCCGTTCCTAGGCTTTTCAGCGCTTGTGCTCCTTTCTCTCAGCCAGCCTTCCCGTGGTTCTGGGCGACAGACGTTTTGTCCTTTAGTTGTAGTTTTGAAATTGTTGTGCGAGGCAGCAGATTAGTTGCTCGCCTATGCCGCCATCTTGGTTTTTTTTAGTGCGATCTCTTTTGAATTTATACGTTTTACAAAGTGGGGTCATTCTAACTCAATGCTTGTAACTGAGGGAGACACCTTTCTACCTGGTACCTTACGTAAGTAACAACACTCCTCCTGCCCCGGGAGAAACGGCTGGGCAGTGATAACACGACAGCAGTGAGATCCAGGAGGCCTCCACCAGAACATCATGCACAATGTCACCTCAAACTGCCACCTCTTAGTCCCCAAAATGCTCCCAGGTCGCCCAAAAGACACAAACATGCACTACCTCAGCAGGAACTGGATCAGCCACTGTCCTCTCGGGCTTACTGAGGTGGCTCCCATACACCCAGAGCCCATCCTCTCGGACAGACAGACAGACAGACAGACAACCAGGGTCCTGCAGATACTGCCCCACCAGAGTGGCCAAAGCCGGCTAACAGGTTACACCTCACACAGATGCAGAATGGATTTCATTACTTACTTGAAATTCATTTTCATTCTGAGCTTGTTCGGATCCCTCCTTATTACAGGACCTCTATGGATGAGAAAAAGCAAACACTTCCGGTGAGATGGGGAACACTCAGCAGGCGCTAACTTTGCAACCACCAGAACAGCCAGGGTAACAAACATCACCGATTTAAAGCGTGTGGCTCAGTCCACTGATGTCTAAGCTGCACCACCAGTGTCCACACTGGGACCAACACCCGGAGCGCGCTCGTTTCTTTACAGGAAAGGGCTGTGCTGTGGGACCAAGCAGCTGTGACTCATCACTCTGGTGTACCACTTCACAATTTCATTGCTGGAGGAAAGCAACAGAGGGCGCTCTTCCAACCAGGCCTTCCATAGCACATGGTCAAGCTGAGTCTGCCCTGGTTAGCCAGGTGGCTCTTTACCTGGAGAAAGGCCTTCTTTCAGCAAGAACAGGGAGGGCACACATGCCAGTGGCAAGCACAGAACTCACAGGGAAAGTCTGTGCAGGCAGGTGACCTGGCACAGAAACTGTGCAGACGAGCCTGCCAACGTGGTGCTTTCAGACTAACTCTGCCTGTTCCTCTCAATATAAACGTGTCCTCCTCCAAAAAGAGGTTTGTGCAGATTTAATCAGGTCTCTAACTTATGTCACATATTAACATATGAAGGGATATTTTCACATCACTGCGCAATGAAATTGCAAATGACTGGTAACCAGGATTCTAGCAACAACAACTACATCGCGAACCACCATCTTCCACTCTGCCTGCATTCTTTCTTCATGGCCCGGGCCAGTTCTTCCCAAAGCAACCCCCCCCCCAAGCGCCCTGAAACCTTCCTGCTATCTGCTAGCCAGGGCCTCGGGAGCAAGTCATAAACTTAAGGTCACGTCAAAAGTCTATACTCAAATATTGCCTCTAAAAATATGTTGTTAAAATTAAACTAAAGTCTGCTTATGCCAGACACAGAAGGAAGCCCATAAAGGAAGCTCTTTAAAAATGTTAAGGTAAAAGATTCTTGAACACCCCGTGAAAAACATACCTTTCCATTCCACAGCTTTATCAAAAATACCTGTACCAAGGGTAGAAAGTGTGGACAGGAAAAAAAATGCCACGTTAAGCAACACCAGCTACTCTAGCACCATTCAAAAACCGTGATTTAAAGCAACAATCCCATCCATCACACACAGAAGTAACTTTCCACAGACATTTTAACATGTTTTATATAAACAGTATATGTTCTAGCTTACTGAACATAAAACTAAATAAATATTAATGTGCATGGAGCTATCTGCAAAGACCTGCACTTACATATAATCGATAATGTATTTACCATACAGTTAAGCACATTTTGTATAAAGAACAGAAAATACAAATGGGATATAAAACACTGTGTAATTTGCATCTCTCTGATGAAAAGGTGGTACAGGTTAAATCCCGTTACACTGAGAGCTACAAAAATGAAAATATTTTAGAAATACTTTTAGACCTCTGCTGATGGCTAGGTGTAAGATGTGATCAATCTTAGGAGGGAGTAATTAGGTATCATGAAAGCTTTAATCTAAAATACTCTCATGATTACACTGTTACCTTAGATTTGATCTCCTCTCCCCGTGGCCTACAAGGTACTTATGCATATGGACATCATCTCTGATTTATGTCTTTCCCAAAAGCACCAAGTAAATCCTGGTGCTTGAACACTTTTAGGATAGCATGAATAAATTAACATTCTGGCACCATGAAGTTCAAGGTGGCTAGCTCAAGGTGCAGCCAGGGTGATGGCAAACTCACATCCATGATTCCAGCAGTGGGAACACTGGCCACAGTGTTCATTGAAACACTGAATGGGGTAGAAATGTCCCCAAAACATTATATCCTTTTGCTTTTTCTCCCCAGGGGAAGTTAAGCATAAAGGAAGTTCTATTATCTCTAATATCTGATACTTTGTAGGGAAAACTTGAAGACAAATAAAGAACTTAGATATCTTACTGAAATTTGTTGTAACTGGATTTGACCTGTACAGAGTTCTAAATGACTATGGTTATTCCTAGGTTGTTATTACTCAAACTGTATCTTCTTAGATACAGTTAATGGGTTATTAAGTCAACAGAAGTCCCTTATCCTCGTCTAATGGTGCTCTCAAAAGCAAGTGACTTCATCCAAAGTTAGAATTGGTTTAGTTCCCGAGGCCATGACTTTTGAACACATTAGGAACCATTAAGTGAAAATAACTTTCCCACCTGCCCACCCCCGTCCACCCCCAAATGCATGCATGACTGCTGCCTAAGAACACCATCATGAAGGTAAGTGGACTTCTGCTGCGGTCAGCCTTCGGTTCTGTTTCCTCAGTACAGAATGCTCAGGTTCCCTCAGACCTGGGAAAGATCCAGGAAACCTCAAAACAATAAGATATCATGAAAAGGTGAGAGAAGAGGCCTCCTCCTGAGGTAAGCCAAGAAGAGAGGCTCACACTGCCCAAAGGTCAGAGACGTTTCTGTCCTGGAAGACAGTAAGAAAAATAGATCCTGGAATCTGTGGGTTTTTACTTCAGAGGAAAAAAATTACATCAAGAAGATATGAAATATAATGTAAAAAATGTAACATGACTTCAATATTTTTGTCAGCTAACTTGCACATTCATAAAAATTAGCTTTTATAAGCTATAAAATAAAGCTGAGAATTTATATTTATTAGAAATTTGAACCTTGACTGGTTATTTACTATCAAATAATTACTAAGACTTTTAAATGTGAATATTATTCTGATCATCTTTTTAAAAATCACCTTAGATACAGACTGAAACATTCATGGGAGAAATAGTATGGTGTCTGGATTTCCTTCAGAATAACCCTGGAGAGTGAATGTGGGAAAGAGGAGAGAAGACTGGTCAGAGGGAAAGGTGTATGCTGGGGGCTTGCATTTCATTATACTCTTATGGGCCTCAATCTGAAGTTTTTCATAATAAAAGTTTACAAAAAAAAAAACAATGAAATGTTAAGACTTAAGAAGTCATAATGCATCAAATAGACACCTAATTCTATGAATATACTAAAAACCAGAGTTGTACACTTTAAATGGATAAAGATGTTACTATAAAAAAAGAAGACAACCAGTGATAATTAAAAATATACTGCCACTGACTTTCTTCCTTCTTCCTCATTCTTTTCTTCCTATTTTGGTTTTCAGAGAATGTATAAGTATTCATTATAATCCACGTATTCATTAGACTGTGATGTAGGAAATAAAAGGCTAAAGTGGTAGCAATAACAATAAAACAGTATGGTTTACATTTTGCTTTAATATAAAAAATGTTAAAAGCTGAAAGAAATTGTGATTGGCCAAGAATGTTGAAATTTAAAACCCAAATTCCTAAAAGTTTAAATGGTAAGATGAGAGAATAAAGGGCTTTCCCTTTTCTTCGGAGGGGGTTGTATTGTTAGGCCTCACTCAGGATATTTTTCCACTGATTTTTAGAGGGAGTGGAAGTGAGGGGCAGAGACAGAGAGAGAAAACCCTCATGTCAGAGAGGCACATGGACTGACTGCCTCCCGCATCTGCCTCAACCAGGGCCAGGGATCAAACCTGCAACTGAGGTGGGTGCCTTGGGCCGCAAATTGAACCAGGGACCCTTCAATCCACAGGCCGACACTCTATCCACTGAGCCAAACCAGCGAGGGCAGGACTCCCATGTTTTACTTTACTTACTTCCATACCTCAAAAAGTACTTAAAAGTATATATTACTTTTATAATAAATACTTTTGGTTCAAGGTTTCCAATGTTGCTTTTTCTGACAAAAATCCCATTTAAAAGACTTTTGAATTTTAAAGATGACCATGAAAAAAGAAAATGTTCATATTACAGGTTATTAGTTTTCAAAATGTTCTATTAAGTGATTTGCAGAGATAAAAATCCACTGGTAATAAAATATCTTTAGGAGCTGGGATAAGAAAACACCACTTGATTTAATTGTCATATATAATTTTAGGATTCAAAAATGTCCTACTTTAAGTTACCTAATGTTTCACAATCTAATCATTTTATTACTTTAAATTTGTTTAAGCCATTGGGCAAGATTAGCTCTTATTAGGGGCCAGTTCTTAATAAAGGCCCCTCTAATGACAGAGTCAGCTTTATGGCTAGACTACTTTAATATAACCACCACATTTGTGAGACTAAACCAAGCAGCACTTGGTTTTCCCGAGTCTGTGTATGGGTGTCTATAAATAAATCAGTCCCAGGGGCATGCAGTGGCATACAGCTACCCAAATGTTGTTTGTACTACCTGAAACATTTATCTTCAAAATAGCTTTAAAGATCCAACACTGCTGAGCAGCTGGCGGGGCTGGCTGGGAGAAGTGATGAGTCAGCTACAAAGAAGGACATGTCATCAATAGTGTAATAAACCCAAATGCTACCTAAGAAATCAAATCATCATCAATTATGGACAATGTCATAAGGAGGTAGCCACTATGTTAAAAACAATTTTTTAGATACAAATAAGTGTTTTATAGAAACATGGGAGACATTCTCTCCTTCCTAATAGCTCTTCCCCATCAAAAAACAACTGAATGGGCTGTCTCTTTCAAAGGCTATCGCAATAGGATAAAGGAGTTGGTTGTGGCCTTTAAGAATGCTTTGGACCCCTAGCCAGTTTGGCTCAGTGGATAGAGCATCGGTCATGGGCACATGCAGGAGGCAGTCGATCAATGATTCTCTCTCATCATTGATGTTTCTCTCTCTCTCCTTCTTCCTTCCTTTCTGAAATCAATAAAAATATATTTTAAAAAGTGCTTTGGAATCCAGAAATGCGTGAAGAAAGAATAATCCAAATGTTAAGCTAGACTCAACCTCAGGGCACCTAAGACATGGTCCAGAATCCTCCCTTCTCTCCACTGACCTGGGCCGACACTTGTGAGCTGAGTCCTCACCCACGCCCAGACTCTCATATTCACACTGAGAATAACAGCCGTGCGTCCTATCTGAGTGCTCAGTAACACTGAGCCTGGGATGACACGGGCTTCTTTACCGTGCAGTCTGCAACGCTGAAGACTTCTAAGATTCACCCTGTTGCTGACCACACTCGAGTCTCCAGGAGAGAGGATTCTCAGCACAGGGATGGCACCTGTCACCATGTCTGTACACGGGGTCTGGATTCCTCTCTGCTGAGCTCGGGTGGAAGCAGCTTGAGAATCGCGATCCACAGAAGTCACAGCAGTCCTGACTCTCTCCATTAAAATCCTGCAGCACGCTGCTTCTTAATGTTACCGTGGGCCCTAACCTTCCTTCTCCAGGATTCCTAGGAGTTTGCCACTGTTATTATATGTTCGATGTAAACTATTGCTGTTATGGTTTCCTACAGCATTTCCTGAAAATACTTTACAGAACGTATTTAAATGTTAAGATGACAATGCAATGGTTTAAAATAGAGCCTATGTGATTATTTAATGAGGATATATGAATTTTATAATTTAGACAGAGAAGTTCTAATATTTTACGGTAGTAGAGTATCTTAAATTATCCCAAGGAACGTTCTTTTGAATTTTGTAAAATTGGGTGACTTGAACATCAACAGGAGGCTCGAACTCCTGCAGACAGAGCCGATGAAGACAGGGGAGTAGCTCTTGGGAAAGAAGGCTCCTTCTAGGCCCTTCCCAACACGTCTGTCTGACCCGGGCTCACCGCCGCCCAGGACTCCTGAGGCTTGGCGGTGAAAGGAGCTTCGGCATAAACGGCCAAGGGCTGAGCTGGAAGCTGTGTCCAGGGGGAGCGAGGGCCCTGGCTCTCAGGCCTGTGTACGCTTCCAACCCGGATCAGCATTGCTGAGCGGGTAAAGCTGCCAGGAACCCACCGGGGACAGGGAAGAGGACACTAACTTATCAGACAAGGAAGAAAGTTCGTTTACAACTCTGACCAAAACCTCAATGCAACGCTAAGTGATATGAAGGAAGAAGATTAACGCTTCAATTGATTTCTCAGGCTGAGGCCCATAAATTTCTAAAATAACTGAATGCCTGTCATTTTCTACTGAGGAAACAGAAGAAGGGAATCTGATTTACCTTGGGCAAAAACAAAGCAAAACCCCTCAAAAAATAAAAAGTGGAATATTCAATATATAACATTCTGACATCTTAATCACTGACCCTCTTTAAAACACAGCACAAACTGTAGCTGGTGCTACTTAACAAAAGCATTACAACTTTCTTTTTAAAAAGCATTTCTTGAAACCAAGAACTGAAAGAAGGAAATTAAAGCTGTAGAGAATGCTCCGACTTCAGAGGACTCATACTATACCGTGAATCGTGTCTGTCACCTGGAAACCAGAGTGCTCCAGGCACGATCGCATGGACAAGCCTGCAGCAGAGAACACATGCACATACAGCTAAAGTGGTACATTCCCCACGCCCTCACGCCCCCCAGCACAGACATTCCTTCCCAGGGGCGGGCTGCGTCACACCATCGTTCCAGGGGCCAGAATTGGTATTGGCTCATGCTATAAATTTCAAACATCATTTAAGACCAGCAAGACAAAGACACTTTGTATATGTCAAAATTAGACACAGTTGTGCGTGGTTTATTTAGTTATCACCAAGAAGGCACCAAAGCAGGTATGGAAGGACTACAGATCATAATTTGGTGACTATCTTTGTCAAGTACTAGCTAAAAGAAATATTGGGTGGACCAAATGGGAATACAAAAGTAGAAAAAGGTTTGATTTCCGAGAGGTAAGTGTGACTACCTTAGAGACAGATATAATTACAGCATACTCAAAGTACAGTGGAATATTTTTATTTTAACGCAGAATAAACATAACTTAGCTCATGATAACCCTCGTTCAGAGTCCTCAGTTACCGGGACCTGACTTTCAGTCACGTGGGACAATGCGGGGCTCTGTATGAAGGAGCCTCGGTCACACTGTCTGCACAGTAAAGGTGACCTTAGTTCCACAGAGAAATGTCCATTTCTCAGGAGCCAATAATTTACTGTTAGCTATCTATGGGCTGTTCTATATTTGACTGGGAGTTAACTTTTAATTAAACTGGGGTTAACAGGAAACTGGGAAGAGCACATTTTGTTTTGTGCATTCAAAAAAGACCATGTACCAAATTTTAATCTTTTGAATCACTAACACATATCTGCGTTGTGCCTCGATACCTTTAATCGTATTATGGTTAGTACTCAAACAAGCACTAATATTAGCCTTCTATTACTCAAAAAAACAAAGCATTTCCCAGACAACACTCGAGAGATCGTTGATGTATATTATAAACATCCATGCCTGTGAGACTGTTCAAAACGGGGAGGCCAAATCTCTCCATTCATGCACAGAAGGGATTGGCTCAACACAGTCACTGTTCGGACAGAGGAAGGGACAAAGCAATCCCCTGAGACTTCCGCCAACTGGCACAGGTTACACTGAGAGAACAATACGTACTGACACTTGTGTCTTCCACAATTCATGATAAATAAGCAAACTGGTTATTTGTAATCAGCCAAACTTGCTTCTTTGAAAAGGCTGCTACTGGATGCTGCAGAGCTCATGTTCCTTCCCAGTATCAGAAAGGAAAAAAATCAAGTTACATTTATAGCTAATTTTATCATGTCAAGCTCTTTTCTAGCAATGACATTAAACTAGTATTTCTTCTCAAAACTCCTATTAAGCCCAAAACAAAACAAAAAACTCCTATTAAACCACCCTCCTTTAAGTTAGGGGCAATTTTATAGTTGAATTCAGTTTTCATTGACTACACAGCAAATGTAAATAACCTCTTCCTCATTAAAATTAGAGCTAGTCTGTGAAATAGACACTAAATTATACTGACATGTATTACTTTAAGATTACACCATTATTTCTATATTTAATAATTCCCTACAAATAATATTTTGTACAGCTGTTTTTCAAAACTGTGTTTCTTTTTTTATGTTCTTGAATGGACCCATTCTTTCCCTGTCTAACACGGGACTTTTAATAAGCCCCTTTAAGGAACACAAATCCTAAATAAGACCTTCAAAACATAATTAGAAAGTCTGCTTATGGCTCATCGTATACAAAAATAAGGGACAAAAACTGGGCTTTAGACCAAGTGGAAGGTTTTACCTTGGCTTTCTGCTACTTAACCCTTAGTGAACTGCACCAAACAGCAGCCATTTCCCTGCCACTATGGAAATAAAGGAAGTTAGACATCTCACAACACCAGAGGAAGGAACAACAAAAAAGGTGAGAAATCTCTCATTATTTTAAACTAAGTCATTTGTAAATGACTATAAATGTAAATCAAAGATTTCTATTTAATGATTTTATTGTCACAGAGATTAAAAATGTCAAAAGCTTAAAACAAGAAGAAGGGGGAAAGGGATACACTAAACTAAACCTGTCTATCATATAATTAAGCAAAGCAGCAAAGTATTATGAGAAAATACATATTATGCACAGTCATCGATTAAAATTTTTAAAGGAAGGAGCTTTTTTAATCCACCTCAAAAGGATGCTACAACTGCATTTATATAGCTGATTTAGGTTATACCAATTATATTTCCATAAATGCACAATCATATGTAGAGATGCATGTGCTTCCATATAACGCAAAGTAAAAAGGGAAAGTATAATATTTGCACTGTACTATATTAAACTGCCTTCAGCTACATCTCTTAATGCCAATCCTGACAAGTTACTGTCAATTCTGGCAATTTTGTCCTTGTTTTGGGAAGAAAAGTGTCATTGTAGATTATAAATCTCTCTCCTTCCTTTATAGGCCAGATTCAAGGAATTGATAAGATATCAGAAAATTTTAAATTGAGTTAAAAATATTTGCTAAAGAATTTAATTTCACGATAAAATCCCCGATAGTGTTGTGAAAATTCAACTTTTAAAACACATAACTGCTGTCTAGCTCGCCTCTTCCTGGCTCCTCAGCCTACCTCTACTTTCCTTCTCTCTTACCGTGGTCTTGTCTGGGTCCCTGCATTTCCCCTCTAGTGTTGTCAAAAGTAGTCTTAATGTCTGAAAGTCTAACTGGCAACAAGTGCCCCTGATAAATCCTGAAGAACCTGGGGACCAAAAATATTTAAATTTGAAGCTGTAGGGTTGATAATTTTACAAGGTTCAAACTTAAATTTCTAAAAAAAAAAAAAAAAAAGTGTTTAAACTAAGGATTCAATAAAGTAATTATGACTTCCACCTATGAGGCAAAGAAAGTTTCCCCCCCCAAGAAAAATGAGTTTATCACATGCAATTCCAATAGCTGGTCATTAAAGTGTTTAAAAGTACTGCTTAAATGAAAGCACACAAACAAACAGAAATGGGCTTGTCACAGATGGAAAAGTCTTCAAAGAAAGAGGCTAAAGACTGACTTTATTAAAAGGGCCAAAAGGACATCAAGTGGATATTTCAAAAACTGCGATTGGAAACTGCAACTTGATTAAATTAAAAAACCGAACTGCATGGCACAGAACCTTTCCTGCTTGCGCACTGGCGGGGGAAGGCCGCTGTAGTTCAGCTGAACGTGCCTGACTGTAACCGGCCTCAGCTCGCCTCAGCAAAGCGCACACACTCTCACAGCAAACTGACTGTTTCCAACTCTCTCAGATTCTAACCACTTTCACAGCTTGTCAGGGTCAAGGAAAAATTATCCAGCGAAAAGATTCAGTCAATTATGACAAATTTTTAATAAATTAACATATAAAGTGCCAATCTTAATTATTAATATTTCTAAACATAATCAAATTATCATAGATATGGACATGACCTGCTTTTTAGATTGAGCTGAGACTGGTGTTCTAAAAATTATATTCTCCATTTTATAAAGATAAAAAAATAGGCTCATCCAAAGAGGATTTAAATGAGCATCAAATTCTACCATAGAAATATATCCATCAAATATTTGTATATGTGGTCAGTAAAACGGTAAACTCACGGTATTAAAAATAGTTTTAAAAATCCAGACATTTGGGATATCCTATAATAGGTTAAGACAATTTAACAAATAAGGTACTTTAATTAAAATTAGAATAAATTATTTTAAAGTAATATAAAAATTAGGAAAGACTGTAAATCTAACAAATTTAAAGTTGTAAGGAAATCTCCAAGGAGGCAGTTAATAAATTCCACTTCCCTGAGGTCTGCCTCTGGGACCACCTGTAAAACCTGTGACCATGCTGTGAAAACACCTCCACGTCAGCAGCTCACAGCCTAAGTCTGCGCTGAAAATCCGAGCATCACCAGGCACTCTTTAAGATTTAACCGACATTATACATTCTGTGGATAGAAAGCTAGGAATGTTCGCACTCGTTTCCTAACAAATAGTAAGTAAAAACAGGAATTCACTTAAAATTGAAACAAAAGCCAAGTTGTACAGCCTGATTAAATAAACATAACATATTAAAATAGCTCCAGTAACACCATTAAACATTAAAATCTCCTCCACGTAGCAGGGAGGAATTAAACTGTCCACAGGCCCCGTCCCTAAGCGGCCCCGGACTCACCATCTTTAAGATCGCGCCGTACAGGCGGAGGAGCACTTTCCGGGGCTCGTCCCCGACGGAGGCCACCGTGTCCGGTAAGGAGCACAGGAACAGCATGTTACTGAGGCCGCCCCTGGAGAGAGGAGAGGGTGGTGAGTGCCTGCATTCTGTCTAAGTCCCTCTCCTTGGGGAACTACAATGGAGGCCAGGAGGACCCCACAAGCACTGTTCTTGCTAAATCTGCATTCATTCTCTCAAGATACTTGCAACATGGCCCTAACCGGTGTGGCTCAGTGGGTAAGCATTGGCCTGTGGACTTTAATGTCCCGGGTTCAATTCCGGTCAAGGGCATGTACCTTGGTTGCAGGCACATCCCCAGTGGGAAGTGTGTAGGAGGAAGCTGATCAATGTTTCTCTCCCACCCATGCTGCTGCTTTTTTTTTTTTTAAGAAGTAAAATTATTTTATTCAAATACTCCTGTGTCTTATGGTTTACAAATACTTTCACCCACATTTTCTTTTTTTAAAAAATATATTTTATTGATTTTATTTTGCCACCCATGTTTCTAACTCTCTATCCTTCTCCCTTTCTCTCTGTAAAAAGTCAAAATATATTGTATAAAAAAATAAAATTAAAAAAAGAAGATACTTGCAACATAAATGATTAACTCCACAGGTTTCAGATCAATTCCAGGAGTCACATTAAAAACTAGAGGCCTGGCGGGTCCCTTGGCTTGGCTTGCGGATCAGGCCAAAATGGGCTGACAGCCCCCGAGGGTTCCGGATTGCGATAGGGCACAGGCAGGCCAAGGGACCTCACAGGTGCATGGTGAGGGCTGGAGGGACCATGGCTCCAGGGTGTGAACAGCCCGCCTCACTCAGTCCCAGTAAACCGGACCCAGCAGCAAGCTAACCTACCAGTTGGAGCATCTGCCCCTGGTCAGTGCACGTCATAGTGAGCGGTTAAGCAGCCCTAACGTATCATTAGCATATTATACTTTGATTGGTTGAATGGACCACCAGACACTTAGCATATTAGGCTTCTGTTATATAGGACAGGCAGACCCTTTGCAGCCAGTGCGGATCACTGGTGAGTGTCTACCTATGAAGCAGGAGGTCATGGTTCAATTCCCAGTCAGAGCACATGACCGGGCTATGGGCTAGATTCCCAGTACGGGGGGTGTGTGCGCGCGCGCGCGCGTGTACGCAAGAGGCAGTCCATCCATGATTTTTCTCTCATCACTGATTTCTCTCTCTCCTCCCTCTCTGAAGTAAAAAATACATATACTTAAAAAAACAGAAACAGGCAAATCCCCAATGTGTCCTTCTAGATTAGTGCTGGGGAGAGGTTTGTTTTTTTTAAATGCATGTGTGTCCTACACATGGCACTGGCCTCTGGAGAATGACAAGGACCAGGAGCACTCTCTCCGCACTGGCAATGGGGATCCCAGATGCAGTCTTTCAACCCCACATTCTTCTATGATTCCAAACTGCCATCCCAGCAGATTCCACTTCCTCCAGAACTTTGCACTTGAAGTACAAGTTCCAAGACCTACCTCTTCCATGCCATTGTCAGTAAAAATTTCTCAACCAATTTTGACTAGCAAGCCTTTAAAAAAAACACCCTGCAACATTAACTGATTCTTGGAGCATTCAGAGAACGTGGAAGATCTCAATACCCGCCCTTCCGCCTTGCCTAGTGAAGATAGGAAACAAGTTGCAGGAAGGAATAGCGGTAGGGACAAATCTCCTGCCTGCGCTGGGGGTTATTAGTGTTGCTACGTGAATGTCACTCTAACAGCTCTGACAGTTCTGCTCCGGTGGCAGATGTTCACCTCCCTTTCCTTGCTAGAACCCAGGCTGATTCAGACAGGAAGGGCCCTGCATTAAAAACTACCCTTAGCAGAGACTTTACAGCTAGGTGGGCCCAGGCTACCAAGTGTTGACAAAATGTAAAAGGCCTGTGACTTCCGGGAAATCAACGTAAGTTCCCACTTTGTCCCTCTCTCTTCCCCACCCTCCACCCTGCTGTCTAAAACAAGAAAATGATGGTGTGTCAATTGCTGAGCTATTGTCTCTGAGCTCCAAACCCATCTGTTTTCTGCTGTGATGCGCTTCCAGGTCTCCGTGACCAGATGCTCCCGTTGGGTGGGCAGTGGGCCCTGTGGCACTGGAGGGGCCCGGAAGGCCAGGGGAGGGAGTGTGTGTGCTGCTTCCTGTTCCTGTTGGCACTGCAGCAGCACCACGTCAGCCCAGCCTTGGCAGCTGGTCCAGAACCAGCTCAGAGGGGCCGGTGCAGAGGTCTGGGCTCTGGCTTCACAGGGACGCTTCTCAACGTGAGGCACCAGCAACAGCCATGCAGCGCCCCGTCCGCGCAGGCTGTCTCCTATTCTGTGGCCCCAGCACTTCCAGATTCTGACAACTCCGGCCTCTTCCCTTTGCTTCTCCAAGGCCCGGAGTGGGGCTGCTTCATGCAACTCATTATTTTAATCACTTCTGCCTTTTCAGTTCCCTCCACACCTGCCACCCAGTTCCGTGTTGAATTCTCTATGGCACATGTGTCAAACACAAGGCCCGCGGGCCAAATCCGTCCCGCCAGGCCTTGCAACGTGGCCTGCACCGCGCTGTCATCACTGCACTCCGCTGCGTTTCCATCACAATGACAGTTTATGACTGTTCAGTAAACCATTCGGCCCGCGATTTAGGCTGGATTTTAGATTTTGGCCCCTTCTCTGATTGAGTTCGACACCCCTACTCTATGGCAAAGTGCCTAGTATCAGTCTAGATTTTTGCAAGAGCCTGACTGGCACATGTGGCCAGAGCTTTGGCAGCTTTTCGGATTATGAGAATGAGGCCACCTCCCGGACTGGCAGAGGAGTTGGCTGGGAGAACCTGCATCTCCATCTGCCTGTGGAGCTTCCGGCCTGGCCTGGCCTGGGGACCCCGGAGCTCTGACACGGAGGAAAACACATTTCCATGTGGTGGAAGCTTCTGTTACTTGGAGCTTTCTGTTACAAGTACTAACTGATAGAGCTTATCACCACATCCACTAACTTGAGTCCTTCCAATCTGGAAACTCCTCCTCCTTCTCTAACTAAAACTACCTGCCATTTAAGACCAAGTTCAAAGTCCAACCTCCACAAGAAGCTTGGCCACCTTCCGGGCTGGCTCCCTGCGGGCCAGGGAAATGTCTGCCTTCAATTTTTAAGGCTCAATGGCCTCCAGGTTGTGGATGCTCAGTGACGATTTTCTAAAAATGACAACAGCACTCTTGTCCCACTGTCTCTCTTCTCCAAACTCCTCCTGCTGTTTGAAAACTGCCGTACAGTGCTCTGACAGAACCGGCAAGTTAGTCTGAGCTCCCTGGTGAGACTGGAAGGCCCGTCTTCCTGGGGAAGGCACCGTGCTGAGAGAAAGCCGCAGGCTTAGAGCCAGGCAGCCAGGCACTCAAATCCCACCTCTGCCACTCATCAGCTGTGCGACCGTGGGCACGTCACCACTGCAACCTCTCTGGCCTCAGCTTCACTCCTTTATAAAGAGTGGGATTCATCAGCCATTGTAAGGGCTCAGAGGAATGAAGTATTTGAAAAGGACTCACTCTTTCATCCTCCCAACAATCCTCCGGTGGACACTGGTATTGCCCCATTCTATAGATAAGGAAATTGAGGCACATAGCAAGGAAGTGACTAAGCCAGGATTCAAATGCAGGTGTATGGCTCCAGGGTCCTTGCTTTTAACTGATGCCACAAGACACAAAAGAGAAAGCCAAACGCGGTAACAGTGCAGTGGACACCAAGAGCCTTACATCAAGACTAGTCCGTACAAACCTGCACAAATGTCTCCATTTCCTACAGCGGCCGTAACGTATGACCGAAAACATATGGCTAAACCAGCACATTTACTGCCTTTCAGGTCTGGAGTTCAAATGCCTGAAAAAGGTCTGGAGCTAAATCAAGGTGTCAGCAGAGCTGCACATCAAAAGCGTATCTTCCATTTCAGGAAACACACACAGAACAGAACAGACTGAGCTGATGAGTGTAAAGGAGAGGTGGGGGCTGTGCAGGGGGATGTGAGGTTAGTGTTTATGGGCACAGAGGTTCAGTCTGGAAGCACAGAAACGATGGTGGTAACAGTGACACAGCAATGTGCGTGTACTTAATGCCAATGGTTAAAATTGTAATCAATTTTATTATGTGCATATTTACCACAATTTTTTTAAAAAAGGAATGTGTCACTGATGATTTTTAAAAACATGGATGATCCTTAAAAACACACACACACACAAATCATATGCATTCCATTCATAAGAAATTTCCAGAACTAGGAAGTCAATAGAGACAGAAGTCAGATTAGTGAGTGCATAGGACTAGGGAGGCAGAGGCAAAAGGGGACAGTTTCTCTTGGAGATGATGAAAATGCTCTAAAACTGATTGTGGTGATGGTTGCAGGTATCTGTGGGTATTCTAAAAACCACTAAATTGTACGCTTTAAATGGGTGAATTGTGGGATGTGAATATATTTCAATAGTTGTTTTTTTAAAATAAGAAAGCTGACTTTTTCCTATGTACTGAGTTCAAGCTAGTAAAAAATCTGAATGTGCTTCCACAGAAACAATGGTCCAGATGTAAATAAAAGTCAAATTTGATTTTTTCAGGAGCTTAAGAGAAAGCAATCAGGACCTGGGAGCCTCACCAGAGTTAAGGATCTGTTCCCCCAGGCCAGTCAGTGTCCACCTCAGTTAAGGAGGAAGAGAAAGATAAGGGAACTCAACGTTTTAGTACTCCAGCCCCCACCCAGCAAGCGAGTGGAAAAGCAGATGGAAGGTGAGGGACAGAGAATGGAGGGCACCCGGACCCTTAACCTTTCTCCTCAGTGTGCGTGTGTGTGTGTGTGTGTGTGTGTGTGTGTGTGTGTGTGTGTTGGGGGGGGGGGTGTCATGTGCACAGCCATCAGAATTGCCTTGCAGCTCCAGTTCCAGCCAGCAAGGGCTCTGGCTCCCAAGCAACAGGACAAGCATTAAAGTCCTAGTTCTCCTTCCTGTCACATCCTCTGGAGAGCTCAGTCAACAAGGAGAGCAAACAGATGAGCTTCTGTTCTAAGTTGTGTAACTCCATTCAAAGTTTATCCCCGTACT